TTGAGGAATCCACAACCGGAGCGTTTGACTAGCCGAAGGCTGACCCGCTAGGTAGCGGTGCGGTGTGCGAAAACAGCAATTCATTTTGGGGCCGGTGTCCAGTTCATTGCTTCATACGTCCTTTGGACGGGGTCTGACGTCCAAGGTGCTCAACACACCTTGATGTCCAATCAAGCCGGTGGCCAATGATATAGTTCGTACACCGCTTCTTGGTTGGTTTGGAATCAGAGTTTTTAGCCAACTCCCTTAGGTGAACTGCGAATAGTTCACCAACCCGGTTATAGGGCCGCATCTTGTCTTTCCAGTTTGGTTGGAAAACACCTCCGCCCCACAAGAAGGCTTCTTCAGCAGAGGCTATTCGAGACGCTTGGTCGTATGAGAACATTTCGGGAGGTGCAGGGGAAGGGTGACCAGCCGCAAAGCTAGACACGCACCCCACCCCACCCGCGAACCATACTGAGGCTTGAAAACAAATGTCATTAATCCTACCTGTCGAACAGCAAGAACATTTTGTCCGTTTATATATTTGTAGGTTTGTAATCACAACCACTCGCTAAAGATTACGTTTTTTTACGGCAACGCGCAGGTCATCTATTAAGCAATATTACCGTATTTGTTTTGTTTTTCTTTACTGCTGGTATTAGGTATATCTTTGCATAGCGCAAGGAAAGGTACTTGGACAACACTCAGTAAATAGAGATTGTACAAATGATCAGCGACATGTACAATTTACACCATGAATCAGTTTTGGAAATTTTGAATCACAAATAACTACCCTTAGATTTCTTGGATCGGGCTGCTTGTTCGCGAACTGTCCGAGGCGGAGCTTTTCCTAAAATTCTTCGAGAAAAACCCACTTGAGAAGAAAATAAAATTTGCATAACAATTCTCATAGAAAACCTAAAGGTGCTGATGAACCAGACAGTGAGGAAAAAGATCGAGACATTAATCTGTTCTCAATCCTAATAATGAATTAAAGGATAAAATCGCCTCGGAAAGCAACGGTTGTATAAAGTCTAGCAATAGCGTGCGTAATCACACACGCTATTGGAAAAGGATTTGTCAACAATGGGAATTTTGCAGTTCAGAAACAAATAACTGGGTTGGTTTGATGCAAAAAGTCACGACAGTTTGGAACGAACTGAATTTCGAGTTTTTTCTAATTGCGATCAGAATGTTTCTTTCGGATTTACGTAAACAAATTCTTCTATACAATATATGTATTTGATCGACGCAGCCAACATAGCCGATGCGGGAGATGTAAAATACAGGCGAACAAAGGAGGGTTATGTGACACACGCACAAGGGCCATGACCACGGTGCTTTCAAGTTATGACGTCAATTAAATCATACTCAACTTTCGGTCAGTGTAACCGGAGTATATAGAGACTGATGTTTTGTGTGAGCACATATTGATTCAGGATGGATTCGCGCATTTTGTCTGCTAAACGACGGCATCATAATCACCGTACAGTGAAGTGAACTTCACTGATCGCTGACAAACTCGCAATGCATACAACGTTAGTGGTAATGTTTAAGGTGGACTGAATCTAATTCGCGGGAGGAAGAAGAAGATGAACAACACACAGAGAGTGCACAATCGAACTCTGGCATACGTACGGTTTCAAGCATTCTGGCCTGATAAGAAATGACAATAAGAACGTCACTGCTGTCGGTTCGCTGCCATATCCTTCAATGTCTCCAATCAACCAATCTTTCGGACCCCAATTTGGAAGGTGTGAAACACCTACTCTACCTAATGGCTCTGTGCATTTTTTCATGCCTCGTTTCTACGTCATCCATGAGAATGAAATCACCGAGACCATGTCTTTTCCTACGTCGCGCGCTCTAATTTTGAGAAAACAGAGCCTATTCCGGGATCTGAAACAGTAAGAACAATACAGAACACCGCCAGATGAGAGTGGGACTAGTTAGCGGGAAACAAGGAATGCAGTCCATCCGCCTGTAAAAATGACAATCGACGCTCAGCCAGCAAGACACGAGACAAAGGTGCACGTACCTGGCCACTGCTTCGCTGTAGACAAAACCAGCGGTAGCACGTTTTACGATTTCGAACGCCAAATCCGATCCTTTCATGCTATAAAAGAAGGAAGTTGTGAAAATATCCGTGAGATGAATGCCACTCCAATCTTTATGAGCTTTTTTTGTTGTTTGGATCAAATGCTTTGGCCTACGGATAGAATACAAATCGAGATAGCGAAAAGTTCGGATAAAAAAGATTATCGTTTCAAGCACTCAATGCATACAGATTGCTTGTTTGGTGCACAACATTTCCGTAACAGTGTCTCACGTCGATGGAACAACCAAACACTCGCAGTCTCATACGGTTCACCAATCCAGTCCAACATGTGAGGTTTAGCTTAGTAAAGGGATCTGGCCCGTCCAATATTTATCCTACCCCTATTCGGAACAAAACAAAGTTGTCCTCTGTCCCAACTAAACTAAACGGTTAGTTATTGTGTTTAGTCTCTCGTGCTGTGACAGGCCTAGGGACAACGATTCTGTTCTGAACGGATGCTGTCAAGTCACTGTGATATGGTTTTGCAAATCGTTTGAGCGGAGTACACGAACACAGAAAAGAAGTAGTATTTTTCAACCTCGTCTAGTCCTTGGATTTGATTAACCTTGTTCCTGTCTTTTTTCAAGTCTTTCCCCAAATCAACAGTCATTTGAAAATTTCAAGCGAATATGGTGTAGGTGCACACACACACACAACAGAAACAGAGTAACCAATTTTACATCTGTCCGTTATGCACTGTCCAAACCGGTTGGGAAACTTTCTCTGTCTATGAAATCAAACGTACGAAACAAAGGGTAACCACGGA